CCTTCAGATTTTGGAAGATTCAGTTATATTTTAGTATTATAGGAAACAGCAAGGAATATTGCAAGTTCAGTACATCATATCACTAAATAACAATAGCCTTACACATATACTATTACATTAATATATTTGCAAAATCAACTAATTAATGAATCTTGGAATGGCAAAATAACATTGATAAAATCAAACAAACCTCAATAAATTTACTATAATCAGAAATATGAAAAATAAAATACATATTAACTGGGAAAGAACAAAATCAAAGAGGCCAGACTCAATTGGCTTGCTCCATTTCTGGAGAAATATTAAATCACATTGGTCAAGCGATTTACAGTTTGCTTCTGTATTATAAAAAAAAAGAAGACTAAATTAATACTGAAAAAGTAGTAGCCTAATTACAATTTCTATCTAACTATTTGGGGATGTGCAGAGGAGTACTTGACTATGTTTTAACAACCCTCATACTGTAGATTCTGATCTGCACATTCCAAAAATATAAGTCATCTTTTGAGTGACCTGAATCAGAGTAGACAAAAGTTATTTTCTTGTGACTGATGTTCCAGTTCTACATCATATCACAGGACATAGTGATCTTTATGGTTTAAATAAATTATTGATGAGATGTTATTTTCTGTTGTAATATATAATTCATACAATTTTGATATCCCTCAGTTTAGGGGACCATTAGTTACCACGTTACCTCTCTCCTTCTCTTGCACTTGGCTCTTGCTCTACATGGCTGTGGGAAACTCAATCTACCCCCAAACCTTCCCCAGGCCCTGCGCCCTCCTCTCACCTGAGAAAGGGCGCCTTCGTGGTCTCGTTGGGGAAGTCATAGAAGGAGTCTGCCCGGAGGCCATCGGCGACCAGGAGCACCAGCCTCTGCGCCGCCGGCTCCCTCCCGTGCACCTGCGGGGTCATCCCATGGCTCAGGGGCGTCCTGAAGTAAATGTCAAACACAGACACGAAGAATATCAGGTGGACAACAAAGCCCACCACGAACAGCCACATCACGACGGGATTGGAGCCCCTTCGCCTCACCCTCAGCGGCTCATCCGAGTGTCTTCTTCTCTCTTCTTCTTTCTTCTTCTTTTTTCTTCTTTCTTCTTTGATAGGGTTTTAGACTATTGTCTAGTCTATATCCCCTAGATCTATTTTCTTTTTCTTTCTTCTTTCTTTTCTTTATATTATTTCTATCAGTTTCGTTTTCCTCCGAGTGTCAGCGCGACCAAAACATTGGGGTTAGCTTCACCGTGGACGACTGTCTGCTGCTAGTTTCACGGTGTAAGGCTGTTTATAATGAACCGTAAAAAATGAATATTTAAGATACCAAATACATTGATAAATATCTATATAGGAATCCATTAATTACTCAGTACGTAAGTTTTTTTTGTTTTTGTTTTTTTAATAAGCAGCACATACACACCAACACTATCTTTTTCTATCTATCTTCTCTTTTTCGCGCTCCTAGTTTCATACTGTCACTTGTAAATCCGGTCCTATTTTAATATTTTTCTCTCAAGATACTTTTCAATAACACTTGCGAATTTTATATCACCTATGGTACCTGCATATAATTATCTCTTACAAATCTGAATTTTCCATAAAGTGTTCTATTGAGAATATTACACTATTCATAACAAGTAATAACTGAATCTGAAAAGATGACAGACACTAAACGGGGCAGAATTGCTTCTAAAAGGAATCGTTTTGGTTATATTATTGATATCAAAACAATAAGTAATGAGCAAATCAATATCGTGGCTGGTTCCTGATCAAAGTTGTCCCGTGTTTGTGTGTGTGTTTGTATGTTTGTGTTCACATTTCTGTATGCGCACACACACGCACACATGCATACATACATACATATATATTACACGCACACGCACACGCACACACACAAACACACACACACACACATACATACACACACACACACACACACACACACACACACACACACACACACACACACACACACACACACACACACACACACACACACACACACACATAAGAAAGAGTCCGCTGGGTGGATTGTGTATATTTAAACTCTAGGAAGGCATTTGATAAGGTGTCTCACAGAAGACTATTATGGAAATTAGAACACCTTGATAGAGGGAAAGGCAAACTCCTCGATTGGAAGATTTTCTTCATGAAAGACACATGAAAACCGTAATTAGAGGGAAGCACTCTACAAACGTAAGCCTAGGTAGTTATCTGAACACGTTTGCAGACGACGTGAAAATACAAGAAAGGATAACAGACGATGTCTCATGCCAATGCCTCCAAAATGACATTGAAAACTTACTAATTTGGAGTTGTATACTGAAAATGTAGTCAGTAAAAAATCGTTAACTATACCAATAGAAATGATAAGGTTCATAAAATGCTAAGGCCGATAGCCAACATGAAGAGGGCATTCGTGTATGTGGACGAAGTCATGGTAAAAAAGGTCATTATAAGCATCATAAAACCTCGTCTTGAGTATGGTGCAGTGGTA